GAAAAAAGTGATATCAGATTGAGATAAGGAACATCTGTTATTTCTTTTTAATTTTGGAAAAATAACAAAAAGAATGTAAGAAAAAAAAGAACAGTATTTACATTAGTTAGTAGTCCTCATCTTTGTCGCCATATTTGTCACAACGTTTCGGCCTGAACCCTTTATTTCGATCACTGGGGTAGACTGTTCTAGTTCCACATGCCATGTTTGATGGATGTCAGTTATCTCCTGCTAATTTTCCCTCTGAAAGTTCTCCACTGACTTAACCAGGTATTGAACTCACCTTCTTTGGGTCTGTCACTGAATGTAACCAACGCCTCTATCCACTGTGCCATGTGTCCTTGAGGACATTTGGGAATGAACTTCTGAGTATTATAAACCTAATGTTTTCAGCTCTATTTTTTTACCAGTGCTCATATTGTGATTTTGCTGTTATCATTGCATGTCTTTACGAGAGTTCATATTGCAACTTTGTTATCATTGCTTTTCTCTGGCACTCCTTATTACTGGTTCCCATATTGTATTTATTTCTATGCTTGGTCGGCTCAGGAGATTTTTGTGACCTAGCATATGTGTTGATTCCTTAAGTTTACGAATTTTCCAATGGTGTTCCCTGTCTATGATCTCAACATGATCCCACAGGGGGCGGTGATCTCCCTTCTCTCTCCATATGTGGTCAGCCACGCCTGATTTTTCTACTTCCCCTCGCATTACAGCTTTCTGGTGTTCTTGAAGTCTTACCTTGAGGGGGCGGCCTGTCTCTCCTTTATATTCCTTTCCGCAGCTGCACGGGATAGCGTACGCACAGTCTTTAGTCATGTTCCCCTCTGTGGGGGGTCTCACCCGTGAGAGATTTCTGCGAAGTGTTGTCACGCTTTTGAAGTTTGTCCTGGTGTTATATGGACCGCAGATCCTTTGTATTTTCTCTGATAACCCCTTCACATAAGGCAGGCAGACTGTTTTCTGAGTGTTGTTGTCCTCCTCCTCTTGTACCCGCCTATCCCAGTTTTGGGGGGCTGCTGCCATGTACCCAGGGTAGTTGTTACGTTGTAGGGTACTACTTATACTGACCAATTCCTTATCTAACGTCTCTGGATTACCACATACTATTAAGAAAATCAATTTTGAAAATGAAAACAAAGTTCTTTATACCAGTTCAAAATGTTATTGAAAAATTTCATATTGAAAAATCTAAACTACTTCTTAAATTAAATTTTGATGTGAAAGAATACAAATTTGATCCAAGCCGTAATTGCTCAAAATGTGGGCATTTGCTGTCTGAAATGGGACACCAAACATTTAATAACTTACCAGACCTTGAAACTAGGCCTCCTAAAAATATTCAAATGTTACTTTTGTATGTAGCAGGCTATGTTACTGTTATGGGATCTTACCCATAATAATAATAATAATAATAGACTATTCCATACTTAATAAATACTGCGCCTCAGAAGTAGGCAAGAAGTGAGTAGTTCAAGTCGAGTCAAGAGTCGAGTCAGAGGCAGTCCGAAACAGAGTCGCGTTTAGACAATTACCGCAAGACATTGGAATAGTGATACTGGTCGAGACTACATAGTTCTCTCTACTAAACCTGATTGTTCATACTAACACTTCTACTTCTCTGCATGTATTCCTGTTTGTAATATATCTGTGTTATTCTATATCCGTGTTCGACTTCTTTATTGGTTCTACCTTGGACTATCACCGTGGTACAAGGAACCGGACCATAACAGTTACAATAAAAGGAAATATTTATTAATACTAGTTTTTATTTTCAAGAATATGGATATTTTATGAAAGAAATAGATCGTGGTAATTTAAAAATTCTACTGGTTACCACAGTTAATTAGGCGTTTTTTTCTGTTTTATAAGGTTTGGTGTTGCAACTTAACTGTGGTAACCTGTAGAATTTTTAAATTACCACGATCTATTTCTTTCATAAAATATCCATATTCTTGAAAATAAAAACTAATATTATTAAATATTTCCTTTTATTGAAGACTTGGAGAATTTCTTTGACAAACATCTTAATGTTAGTTTCTGATATGTATTATTTCAATATGAAAAGAGATCACAGAATTATATTATCAAATAGACTTTTCAAAAACTATCATTTTTTGATTCACCTAAGATAATTGAAAGTTTTGAAATTATTTAAAATTTTTATTGATAAGATAAAAATATTTATACAATTCTCTTAAAGACTATACAATCAGTATTAAAAATTCATATTTTTTCAAATAGTAAAAATATGTACATACTTATTCATCAAGAGAATTATTTACCAGTTTTTTTTTATTTTCAATTTCCCCACATTTTACATATATTTAATTGGTTAACTCCCCAAAATGTTAATTAATTTAGTGTTCTTAATTTTAATTATTAAAACAACGTATACTGATAATGTCTGTTATTGTATCATAGTGAAATAAGTATTATCTTCATCTGTGAAATAAATTTTATATGTAACAAAACTCAGAATAAATTTTGTAAAACTTATCAAAATTATTGTTTCTCTGAAATTCCAAATTTTTTGTAAAGTATTTTCAAACTTTGTTGATACACAATTTTGTAAAATGTTGAATTTGCTTTCTGATTGTATCATAAAATTTTATATTTTTCTGTAATCAATTTCTATAAACGAATTAGATCATTATTTTTGCAATATCTTCTAAGAATGTCTAATTTATGGCAAATAAAGTGATTTTTTGCATTTCGCTATTTTCTGATAGAAGAAGTTATTTTTTGTTCTTTGTACATTTGCATTTATGGAAATAAGTCAATAATTGTAAACCGCTTTCTAATATATGTGTATAGTTGATAATTAACTACTTACTAGACATTACTAACAAGTTGTTTGTCAAAAGTATTATGGAATTGTTATTTAATAGTAATTTAGGTCTCCATATACCCGCTCCCAGTCGTGGACCCCAGTAGCATGGTTGACAGGCCTCAGTTATGGATTGCCTTGGCATTAGCCCATTTTTAATGCCAATACTCAAGAGACCTAAAAGGAAAACTCGGTGCCACATAACTTACTGGCCCAGATAGGCCTATTAATAAAATATATTTGACTTACTTAAACACATACAGTATGAGTGGTATCTCTGAAAAATATCTTGTAGTTTTTAATAACTTAAGAACCAGTTATGCTGTCTTAAAGTAATCTGTCAACTAATCAGAGAGACCTTATTGCACATACGTGAACAGAAACTCTTTTCTGATGTTACTCAGTCGGCAGTAAGTTTGTGTACTGAATGTTTGTTACAAGGTCAGCTATATTTTCGTTAATATGAAATGGATAAATCCTTTCCAAACAGATTTCGTATATATGTTAATTCTGTGAAAAAAAAATTATTCAAAATATATTTCGCTTTCTATTGGATATTCACTCTTCCGGACGTTGGTGATCATAGCTCTCCATAATTTTCTGTACTTTGAAACTCTTGTTATTTCTCCTAAACATTGTTCCGCCATCCATTTACTCAAGCTCGCTATGTGTTGTTTTCCTCTGTCCCTTCGATCCGTCTTGTGTGTATCACATTTTCCAAGCTCTCTTTCCTCATTATATGCTCTAAAACTGTCTCAGCTATCTCTTCTTGAAGTTAACTATGTACACTTTTTGTTTGCATTGTCTCTAGAACATCGTTGTAAATGTAAAAAAATTTACAATCCACAAACGAATCATATTGATAGATTATTAAAATATCATCTTTACGAATATGTATATAGGTTTATAAATTTTAGTTAAGCTTGAAACGAAATCACATATTTAAACGCAATGTACGAACTTTTGTCCCAAACTAATATATATTGAGAGATTGTAGACATAGGAATTAACACTGTACGCTTGTGGCGTGAAATGAGCAGCCACCACGTAGGTTTGATTCTTATACTAAACGAGCTTATTCGTGGCACAAGGCCCAAATTATGAGGCACCCAGTGAGGATCGAACATTACTCATTCGTAATTGACATAGTGAGACCAGCTTGCTAACCATAAAACAACATCGAAGTACCTCTCTCTCTCTCTCTCTCTCTATATATATATATATATATATATATATATATATATATATATATATATATATATATATATAACAAAAATATACATATAATAAAAATATATATATATATATATATAACAATAAGTAAAGAGAAAACAACGAAAGAATGAAAAGAAAACATAAGAAAAAAGACAAATACTTACCTAGTCAATAACCCAAAGTGCTCAATGTCTCTATAAAAACACCAAGACAGGGCAGTAACTCTAACCAATGAAACAGCACAAAGAAGCACATCGAAATAGTTACTCTGTGTTTTGCGCAGAGCGATCATCAGACAACTATATATAACACTGTACTGAGGGCTCTCTCACTCCCATGCATAAGTTCTCCCATATCTTCCCTCACGTAACCAAGTCATGTAAATGATTCATTAGCTAAAGCGTCAGTAGACGGATAGACATTTGCTTCGTTAATTTGTTTTAAAATTATGACAAATTGGTTTCGGAATTTCTGTTAACACTGTATTAAAACCGTCTGGCAATTAAAATGAGTAATAAATTTTGACTGTATTAATTTAGTGTGTTTTAAAAAGATATCGCCAAAAGAAATGAACGTGTTCAGTGTAACACGGAAATATATTTGATAGCCTCTCCGGTGAGGATTTATTAATTATGGCAAAGCAAATCTCCGCTAACACCAGAAGGAAAATAACCAAATGAAATAAAGCGTTGATGTATGTGTTGAGATGTTGAAAGACAATTTTAATTCATTCGACTCTTCACTAAAAAAAAATAGGGTGGGAGGTCTTTCAGGAACGTGTGATAAGCTTGATTAATTAAGTGACTTGCAAACGCAAACCCCTCCCAATAATGACAAAAACAATCTTCATAATGAAGAGCGCATTTCAAACTTTGATGTTTGCATTTTTTGTTCGATTTCACATAGATTTTACCAAATATTAAATATCAACTTTACTTAATCAGCCGACTTACCACGGCCATATCACGTTAAAATACCGGCTCTCCTCGGATCACTGAAGTTAAGCAACGTCGAGCCTGGTCAGTACCTAGATGGGTAACCGCTTGGGTATACTAGAGTGTAAGTTTGTATATGTGGGTGGTGTAATGGATAACGGGTCAGAATAAGAAATCGAATAGTCGAATTCGTTACATTCACTTACGCGGAAAAAACCCTTATGAAAGTTATGAACGCACTTCCACCCGGCTATGGTTTAAATAGTAGGATTTGTATCTGAAATTAATTATTATTTTAACAAAAATTGTTAATTTAATATTTACTTACAAAAAATAAAAGAATTATTCACACAATACCAGAAATATGTTTAAACTTTAAATAACCTACAAAAGGAAAAAAGCCGTAAAAAGATAAATGTCCATCAGATTCAGATTATACTACATTTTGTCTGTTTCGTTTCCAATGTTAAAAGCGCATGGCGGAGTGGTTAGCATTCTGACCATAAGTCATGGATTCCAACTCGATTTGTTAGGGTTATCGCCTGGTGAGACGATTCCAACATACGGCACCGTTGAGACATGCCTGGAAACCACACCTGGGCCTTGATCCAAGATTTGTGAAGAGATTGAACTGTTCAAAAACCTTCGATGGTTGTGCTAGCACAAAGTTAAAAGTCATCGTGACCGAGGGTTTGAACGTACTGGCCTTGTCCGGTTACTGATCACACCAGATTATGCACTCTCTTCCAGAAACTGCATTCAACTCAACACAGTTGCAGTGTGAATCACAGGTTGGCTCTGTGGATGTTGAACTAACGCAAATGTGCCTGAGCAGATGTCCGCGACAGGGATTAGCTAGCCACTTTTACATACAGGTATTCTCGGATACAAGCGGTCTAGCACACATACATTTGTTTAAAACCCTTTAGTATCTATTTTAAAACAAATTCACAACGCAATTTGTCTCAGGCACTGAAGAACATCTCCACAATTATCAGTTATCTCATGTTAATTCACCTCTCCAAGTTCTCCACTGCCTTAACCAGGTATTGAACTCACAACTCTTTCAGTCCTGTCATTGGATCTAACCAATGCCTTTATCCACACATTTAAAGACACATGGCATAGTGGATAAAGACGTTGGTTAATGATGGGGTAACTTTTTCGTTTACCTATATCGTTTTCTTCTATCTCCTGTGCCACTTCAGGATGTTGACGATCATGGCTCTCCACCATGTCCTGTCTTTTGTAGCTCTTAGAAAATTCTACTATCTCTCCTAATACCTGTTCTGATAACCATTTATGCAAGTTTGTTACCTAGTTTATTCTCTGTTTTCCTCTATCCATCTTAACGTCAACGTGACTTGTGTATGTTAAATTTTCCAAGACGTCTTTCCTCATTATTTACCCTAGAATCTTCAGCCCTCTGCTTCCAAGTATGTCCTTTTCGTTTCCATTTTTCTCTAAAACTTCCTCATTATTCACATGTTCAGTCCATGGTATTCACAGCATTCTTTCCTTTTTCCAAATGTAGTTGGGGATTTTTACAAAGTATTATACGTTTATCTACCCGCACAATCGAGAAATCCTTATACAGAAAAATGCGCTCACCAGTAATATAAGCCCCAGAAGGATCGAACCTACTTCGCTGTACTTGTTAAACATTGTATAATGCATAGTGCTCTTGTAGTTAATAGATCATATCTTTAATAAACATTACTATTTATTTTTCCATATTTCTCTCTTAGTTTTTTTTTTTTTTACTTAATGCTATTGTCAATGTCTCGTTTATTTTATTTATTTTTTTAATTAAATTACCAGTTTTTTTTTTTTTCTTGATGTATTTTAACAACTGTAGAATCTTCGGGTTAAGAACAAATGCATATCACGTTTGCTCCGCTAACAAAGACAACTTCTGCGTCCATTGAACACTTTCCATTGTCTTATTCCCTATAATCCTAATCACCATCAATTTTGTCGTCTGTTTGAAACCGGACACGAAAAGCAAACAATTGATAGTCTGTCCGTGTAATCAAAACATCAACTAATGTGCACTTCTTTGTTGCGGAGGGATTTCCGGTGAATGCTGATGTGATAAGTATCTCGGTACAAGTCCCAACTTGTTTGCAATCAGTGAGCGTCCCGAAGTTACACTAGAAAGTAAACAGTATGATGATTAACGTTTTTCCTCTCATATATATATATATATATATATATATATATATATATATATATATATATATATGCAATAACAATTTATGATTAGTAGGGATAATTCCAAGGAGGATATAAATCCAAAGAGAGCTCAAGGTAAGAACAGAGCAAATATAATAATGAATACCAGAATCCTTAAAAATCCATTTGGTCAGGTTATGAGTTATTTCGTGGACCTCACGTTCATCTATTCTTTTCCTTTTTCTCTTTTTTCTTCTTTTTTCTTCTTTTTTTCCTTGTGTCTGAATAAATTGAACTCCATTTATTAATGTAAAACTGGTCTGAAGAGAAGGACGTGAGGTCCAC